TTTTTTTTTAAAAAAAAAAAAAAAAAAAAAAATCATATGAGTTTGGTTAGACATTAAGAAGTAACTTATGATAAAACTTAATTTTGGTGGGTGAACTGTCCCTTTAAGCTGGCTAAAAAGATCTAACGTTAACGGTAGCAATGGCTGCAGAATTAACAACAGGCGGTGTTTGAAACCAATTAGCAGCGTTTAAACAAATTAAACGCATGTATTCACATTTTAGTGCATACAACAGCTAGAACTGCAGTAATGTGAGCTAACAGAGAGAAATATTGACTCTAACATGCATTCAGTCAGTCACACCTCCCTTATGGAGTCAATGCGGCTCATGGCACTGCAGTTTTTACCTTTAAAACACCTCCATCTTTCTTCGGGGTGATGTCTTCACCCTCGATGGAGATGCTGCAGCCTTCATTCACCACCTCTTCTGCAGTCATTTTTTATTTAAAATGAATATTTCCTTCGAAACGGCCCCAAAAATAACTTAGAACCACTCTCCTCACAGACCGTCTTCTGAGGTCTTTCCTTCACATAAATCACTGGATTAATCACTCGACGTCTGCAGGGCTAAATGGAATTAATATCGCTATTAGGAATGGATTTGGTGATCCAAGGCGAATATTTGGCGGTTCGTGCTTGTTAATTGTAGTTTTTAAGTCCACGGACGAGCTGTGCGAGGTATTTATAAATCGATCGGCCCGCCGTTGGAAACTGAAGCGACTCGACGAACTTTCCAGAGCTGCGCGAGAGTCTAAAACCAGGGTTGCCAGGTTTTCACAACTAAACCCGCACAGTTGCTACTCAAAACTAGGCCAATCGCGTTCCTGGGGGGAGGGGAGGGGCGGGGCGGGGGGTAAAATAGACGATTTTTTTTTTTTTACTAGTATCTAATGAATAAGTACTAGTACCTAATAAATAAGTACTAGTATCTAATGAATAAGTACTAGTACCTAATAAATAAGTACTAGTATCTAATGAATAAGTACTAGTATCTAATGAATAAGTACTAGTATCTAATGAATAAGTACTAGTAACTTTACAAAAGACACTAGTACCTAAAGAATAAACACTAGTACCTAAAGAATAAGCACTAGTAGCTAAAGAATAAGCACTAGTACCTAATGAATAAGTACTAGTACTTAATGGAAAAGATACTAGTATCTAAAAAATAGATACTAGTACCATGAAAATAGATACTAGTACGGCTTACAGATTAAATGTTAAAACGGCTTGCCATAGTTAAAGTAGCCCATTTCCGCGGTAAAACAACGGACTTGGCAACACTGTCTAGAACTAACTGCAACCATAGGCACCGTCGCTAAACTCTTAACCACAGTTAATAACGAAAAAATGGTTATATAATTTAATAATAACAATAATAAGTATTATTTTATTTTAAAAAGCGACTTACAGTGCATTCAGGCTATACATTTTTTTTTACCAGTATGATATATTTATATTATTATTATTATTATATTTATATGTTTTTATGGTCAGTTTAGGTTATTATTATTATTTGTCTTTATTCATGCCAAACAACTTGACGTGCACTTGTAACAAGTATAGGACAACAACTAAAATATATAAAACAAGACATATATAATAAAAATAGTAATAATAAAATAAAAACCAAAAGCCACAGAAAATAAACTTTTATATAAGGTTAAAAGATTGAAAGTATTTTTTGAGTTTTTATGCCTATAAAAAACAAAGCATATCCACCTTTTTCTTGTCGTAAAATGGGCGCGGCCATTTGTAAATTCTATGGGTATGGCTTCCGGTCTCATCTGCGTCCACTCCGTACAGCTATTTTATCTGCCTCCAGATGAAGTTTTGCTGCTTGATATTGAAAGTTGGTGTGTCTTATCATATTATTTGAATGTATTATCTTAATTATGAGCACACTGGTTTGTAGTGCAAACAGTTTTACCGTTTACTGCACGTTGTTATTCTCCTCGTTATTTACCTATAGCGGCTAATGAACCGGAAGTCTCACCCATAGGCTTACTACCGCGTTGAAGAAAAAGGTGGATAAATTATAGTCTTTTAACAATGTTTAAAGACAGCATGTATATGTAGCCTGTTTATACTATGATGATGATGATGTTTATTTTCCCCACTGTATGATGTTCTAAGTGTTGTTAATGGTGTATATTATAATTAAAAGAATAATACAATTTTGTTTTAAAATACACATTAGTATTTATGCTGCACACTTTCAAAAAAATGTTAATATTTAAATGCATGTAAACTAAAACATGTATTATATTAAAATATGTATATGTATTTATATTGACAGAATTAAAGGAGATAGATAGATAGATAGATAGTGAAAATCAACAGATGACATTCAAGAAAGAAGTGCTGTATACTGTTAACTAAAACTAGCTAAAAACTTAATAATACTTAAATTATAAATATAAATTATAAAAACTAAAACTGAAATAAAAATAAATTAAAGGTAATAGAAATACAAAAACAAAAAAAGACAAAAGCACATAACAAAATGACTAAAGCTCATATAAAAAGTAAAATGAAACCCGAAAAGTTACAATAAAAGCTCATTCAAATATGAATAAATACTATAATAGTAGATAAATAATACTAAATTAACACTGAGATAGATCATAAAATACAATAAAACAGAATAAATACAATACAAATATTAAACAAACAGAAAACATTACTGATGTTTCAATAAAAGAATGATAGTTCTTGAAAATCAACAGAGGACTTTCTAGAAAGGGTGAAAATCTGGAGTTTCTTATTTCGGTTTTCATGAAAGAGTGACATTTGATGCGGGTCCCTATCCTCTGTGAAGTTTTCCCTCGTTTTCGTTGGCTGAAGCAGAAGACTGGCGCGTTCGTTCGAGGAAGTTTACGCTGGCAGAACGAGTTTTTTTAATGTTAAATTACATGTGATATTTCTTTACAGCCATCTGTTCTGTCAATATAATTACACGGGAAAAGCGACAGATTTATATATGGACTTAAGTCATGTTCCGTTGACACTGTGAGGCGTTTATTGTCAGTGTGTAACTCGGCCTAATTCAGTTTGTGTGGCGTATGCAGCAGTCTGACTTGATCATGGAGAGCAAGAGTAGTCGGTTTCCGTTCCCTTTCCAGCCCTATCCCATCCAGGAAAGCTTCATGGAGGCCCTTTACACTGCTCTGGATCAGGGGAAAGTCGGTATATTCGAGAGTCCCACTGGCACGGTCAGTCTGCGCTCGAGATCCGTTCATCTCGCTTTCTCAGGTTAGATGACGGTGGATGTTTGAGCTTTCTTGTGTTTGATCCTGCAGGGAAAATCTCTGAGCCTTATATGTGGTGCACTGACATGGCTGAGAGACTACGAGGAGCAGAAGAAACTGGAGGCTGCTAGACTTCTGGATGGGCCGGAGAAGAAGTGTGATGCTGTGAAGGAGAACAGCAACAGCCAGCCATCAGAGCCAGACTGGGTGTCTGAGTTTGTGCAGAAGAAAGCAGAGAGAGACATGGTGAACAAGTTAAAGGTATGAGAACTATTAGGTGCCTTTTACAGTTCATCATATCAAGTCATGTGTATCTAAGCAGGGGTTTTCAATCTGGGTCCTAGGTAGTGCAAGAAAAGGGATAAAAGTGAAAACGTTTAAAGAAAAGCAGTGTATAAATACAAATAAATCAAATGAATGTATATATTAAAATAAACAAAAATGCTTAAAATAATCAAATACATTTATAAATAATACATCTAACAGTAGTGAGTAGAAAATTATAATAATGTTAAAAAAAGAAATATTTTCCTAATTTTCAAATAATATTTTTTTATTTTTTTTTTAGGAATAGGGTCTTTACAAAGACAAAAAATACAAATAAATAAACAAATAAATAAAAATTAAATAATTTCGTTAAAAATATTTTTAAATAAATTCAAAATTTGGTTTAAAAAAATCTAATAATTAAATATTACATCTAACAGTATAGTACTATAGAAAGTAGAAAAATTTAATAATGCAATGTGTAAGAAAAACCTAAATATTTTCCAAATAATATTTAATTTTATTATTTATAAAGTAATATATATATATATATATATATATATATATATTAAAATATCTAGCTGCTTTATAAAAAATGTGGCATCTAAAAAATTGTAAACCCCTGTCTAAGTGGTTTAAAAAATGGTATGAGAACTATTAGGTGCCTTTTACAGTTCATCATATCAAGTCATGTGTATCTAAGCAGGGGTTTTCAATCTGGGTCCTAGGTAGTGCAAGAAAAGGGATAAAAGTGAAAACGTTTAAAGAAAAGCAGTGTATAAATACAAATAAATCAAATGAATGTATATATTAAAATAAACAAAAATGCTTAAAATAATCAAATACATTTATAAATAATACATCTAACAGTAGTGAGTAGAAAATTATAATAATGTTAAAAAAAGAAATATTTTCCTAATTTTCAAATAATATTTTTTTATTTTTTTTTTAGGAATAGGGTCTTTACAAAGACAAAAAATACAAATAAATAAACAAATAAATAAAAATTAAATAATTTCGTTAAAAATATTTTTAAATAAATTCAAAATTTGGTTTAAAAAAATCTAATAATTAAATATTACATCTAACAGTATAGTACTATAGAAAGTAGAAAAATTTAATAATGCAAACGGAAGAAGCGAGAGGACAGACTGGAGATGATCCGACACAATGCCCAGCTCAGATATGCCATGAAGAGAAAAGTGAGTGCATGAACAGTGGGATCTGAGTTTTTTTTTTTAATCATTTATACCTGGAAATATACAAGGTTTTATGATTTAGAAATATAAAAAAAAAAAAATGAAGAAAGAAGATTGAAAGTTTCTTCACAAATCAATCATTTGAGTATGGATCTGCTATTTCAGTTGCTCATATAGACATTACATTTACCCAGTAAAAGTATCAGGTTGCTTATTTTACCTTTAACAGGCCAGCGAAGATGATGAGGCTGTAAAACTACTGCAGCTCAGCAGAGAGGGGGCGGAGTCAGAGACACTCAATCCAGAGGAGGAGGGGCTTATTGTAGCAGAATATGAGAGTGATGATGAAGCCATGCCCAAGAGCAGGTATTGATTGTTTGTGTGGATGACTGCATGAGATTGTGTGCCATTTCCAGCCTTGATTTCTCATAGGGTTTCCTCCACAGGCTGTTTGATGAGGCCGACGACGAAGATCTAGAGGAGGATCATGTCACTAAGGTGCATGTGTAAACTTTCCACCCTGCATTAGTGAACAACGTGCTTGTGCATGTTTAACAATGTTTTTTTTTACATCTTTAGATTTATTACTGTAGCCGAACTCACTCTCAGCTGGCTCAGTTTGTCCACGAGGTGCAGAAGAGTCCATACGGGGCCGCTGTTCGCTTGGTTAACCTGGGCTCCAGACAGGTAAAGATGCCCACAGAATTGTTATTGTGATTCTTTTATCACTTTTAATTAAAAACAATTTAACAGTAACTATACATATACCACCGTTTAAAAGATTGTGGTCTTTTAATTTTTCTGAAATAAGTCTCTTAGGTTCAACAAGACTGCACTTATCTAATCAAAAATACAGTAAAAACAGTAATATTGTTAAATATTATTACAATTAAAAAAACTGTTTTCTATTGCAATATATTTTAAAATGTAATTTATTTTTGTAATGAAAAGCTTAATTTTCAGCATCATTACTCCAGTCTTCAGTGTCACATGATCCTTCAGAAATCAGTATAATATACTGATTTGCTGCTCAAGAAACTTGTATTATTATTATCAATGTTGAAAACAGTTGTGCTGCTTAATAGTTTTATGGAAACCTTTTTTTAAAAGGATTTTTTGATAAATAGAAAGTTTAAAAGAACAGCATTTATTTGAAAAAGAAATATTTTGTAACTTTAAAAATGTTTTTTTTCTGTCACTTCTGATAAGTTTAATGCATCCTTGCTGAATAAAAGTATTAATTTCTTAAAAAATAAATCTTACTGAGTCCAAACTTTTGAACAGTAGTATATAATATGCTTATTCTATAATCAGTTTTAATAAAATATAATATTTAATATATAATATTTACACTTTATTTTAAGGTGTCCTTGTAACAGTGTAATTATACATTTAAGTACTGAGTAATATTAATTAACTACATGTACTTACTATATGGTTAGGGTTAGGATTAGGGTTTGTCTTAGGGTTACTTGCATGTAATTATGCATAATTAATTGTTATTATAATAGTAAGTACATGTAACGTGTAATAAGGACACCTTAAAATAAAGTGTTACCAACAATTTTATTATAAGTGTCTATAACAAGAATTATGCTTTCACATTTTTAAATTAACTTTTAAACTTTAGATTTTGAATTTTTTTTGTAGAAAATGAGTGCTGCCACAATGCTAGGCCAATTTTCAACAATAAATTCTTATGCATCCATAAAGGGGCAATTAGATTGTCATTTTGTCATTTATAGAACCTGTGCATTAATCCAGAGGTCATCCGGCTCGGAAACGTCCAAATGATGAACGACCGCTGTTTAGAAATGCAGAAAAACAAACACGGTCAGAAACGTCAACACAATCTCTGCCAATTCTTAAATGACCCAATGATAACATAATCAGGCGAGAATGACATGAGCTCAGTGTTGAAGTTCTGACCTCCATCTGCAGAGAAACAAGAAAAGGCGTCAGACTCTGAGACGAAACGTCGCCGCGGCGTTGCCAAGGCAACTTGTCCCTTCTTAGGTTTTGAAAGTTTGATGGCGATGAGGGACGAGGTGCTGGTGAAGGTGCGAGACGTGGAGCAGCTCCTGCAGCACGGCCGGGAGACACACACGTGTCCTTACTACAGCACACGGATGGCCATACCTGCAGCACAGGTACACACACCTGATGCAACACTCTCGCTCATATACAACCCTGTGCTTTCAATCTTTCTCTCTCTTTCTCAGGTGGTGGTGTTGCCGTATCAGTTGCTGCTCCATGCTTCCACCCGTAAAGCATCTGGGATCAAACTAAAGGATCAGATTGTCATTATAGATGAGGCTCATAATCTGACTGACACCATCTCAGCCATACACAGTGCAGAAGTCAGTGGAGCACAGGTACACGGACACACATACTCACTGATCAGATCGAGTGTACTCAGACTTGTTAACTGATGTGTGTTTCTTATGTTTCAGTTCTGCAGGGCTCATTCACAGCTCTCTCAGTACTGTGAGCGCTACAGGTAAAAATACACATTTCAAACATTCTGTACATCTAATTTAGGGTAAAGTTTAGTATTTACTCACCCTCAAGTTGTTCCAAACCCGTATGACTTTCTTATTCTGTGGAACACAAAAGGAGAACTTTTGCAGAATGTTCACACAATGAAAATAAATCGATCTGATGCTGTCAAAAATGTTTATGAAAGCTACCAAGGCTTGTTTTAAAAGTGCATTAAAAACAGTAATATTGTGAAATATTATTTCAATCTAAAATAACTATTTTCTGTTGTAATATATTTTAAAATGTAATTTATTCCTGTGATGTAAAGCTGAATTTTCAGCATCATTACTCCAGTCTTCAGTGTTACATGATCCTTCAGAAATCAGTATAATATGCTGCTCAAGAAAAATTTATTATTAATATGCTGTCGAGCTGTAAAAATGGGAAAAACATATAAGTTAATTCAAAGTCAAATTTAAGTCTGCTAACTACTAAAGTAATGTTTTTAGACATAACGTCACATTATCATTGTGATTTAATGTAAATATCATTGTGTTTTATGGTTGCAGAAGTCGACTGAAGGCCAAAAATCTGATGTACATCAAACGGATCCTATTTGTGCTTGAGGGCCTTGTGCGCACACTTGGAGGTCAGCTGTGTGACATATTGTTTTGTTTGTGTATTTTATCATTTTATCTAGCTGATTTATTGCTGTGGTTTCCTGTTAACAGGTAAAGTGGGTCAGAATCCGAACACTCAGTCCTGCCAACCAGGTAAACAAACACAACCTGCACGCAAAGTTCAAGGAACTTTTCATTCCTAAGTGTTTTCGTCCTTTATGAAGTATTTAAAAAAAAATTCTTTTGATTTTGAATTTCTTTACACAACAGGAAGCGAGCTGCTGACTATCAATGACTTCCTGTTTAAGGCTCAAGTTGATAACATAAACCTTTTTAAGGTACTACACGACTCAGTATTATTTATATATTATTATATTTATTAATAGTTTTAATTAGCTTTTATTTTTATAATTTAATATTTCAGTTGAATTCATTTTTTTATTTTTTGTTTAATATTTCTATTTAGCTTTAATTTATTTTTATTTCAGTTTTAGTTTAGTTTTCAATTTTAGTAATTCAACTTAAACATTATTTTTAGATAGCTGCCAATGCAACATTTCTCATTCTCATTTTTTTTTTTTTTAGTTTTTGTTTTTCATCTAATATTTGTATTTTATCTTATTTCAGCTTTATTTCAATTAACAAAAAACTATTTTTAATAGTTTTCGTTTTTGTTGACAATAACAACACTGCACCAACTTCACTGACTATTATTATTATTATTAATTATTATAAAAAATATATTTATTTATTTAAAATACTACACAAAGTCAGTATTATTTATTTACTATTATATTATTATTATTTTTATATTTTCATTTTCATTTTTTAGTTTAATATTTTAAAATTCATTTTTAGTTTTTAAATTTCCAAAAAAAATGATTTGTTTTAGTAATTTTAGTAATTTAACTAAAACTTATTTTATTTCAGACAGCTGCCAATGCAACATTCTCATTTGGGTTTTATATATACAGTTAGTATATATGTTAATATATTTATTAGTATGTATATTAGTATTAATTATTATTCAAATTTATTATTATTATTTTTTGTGTAGAATTTGACATTGGTAGAGTTCTTAATGTGGATTAATCTGTCTTTTGAAGGTTCAGAAATATTTTGAGAAGAGCATGATCAGCCATAAGGTGAGTACGAGAACACATTTATGACTCCATTTGAAAAAAATTCACACAAACACACACTGATGATCCGTGTCCTGTGTGTAGCTGTGTGGATTTGTGGAGAAATACGAAGGCAGTGGTGTAAACATACACACCGTATCTAAGAACAAAGAGAACCGTCGCATAGAAGGACTCGGACGCTTCCTGCAAACGCTTCAGAACAAACCTACAGGTACAGTCTGGTCTCAGTCAACATGTACTTCCCCATTCACCCTGGTTTTACACTGAGAAACAGTGTGGTTTTGATGGTCTAGATGTTTCAGAGCAGCAGATGGCAGTAGAAGACAAACCAATCATGGCTTCTCCAATGATGCTGGTTGAAAGTTTCCTGTTTGCCCTCACTAACGCCAACAAAGACGGACGAGTCATGATTCAAAGACAGGGTTAGTGAGTATTTGATCACATGCACATAGATAAACATATGAAACTGTCCTCTCACGCATAATTCTCCTTTCTTCCTCCAGTATGTCTTTCTCAGAGCAGTCTGAAGTTTCTCTTGCTGAATGCCGCAGTTCACTTCACACAGATCGTCCAGGAGTGCAGGGCCGTGATCATCGCCGGGGGAACCATGCAGCCTGTCAGCTCACACACACACACACACGCACAAACTTCACAGGCATTATTGGACACAGTGACACAGCTGTCTCAGTTACATAACCTTAAACGGACATATTAAAGACTTTCAGAGTGTAGAATAGCATGCTCAAAGCAAGACTGATTTTGTGTTAATGCTTTGCAGGTTGCTGATTTTAAAGAGCAGCTTCTATTTTCCGCCGGGGTCACAGAAGACAGTATTTTAGAGTTCTCATGTGGTGAGTTTACGTTATTGTGCACATTTCTTCTTGCTATTTTTTGCAGTGTTGCTGATTATGTGTGTAACTCTTGCATAATGGCTTCAGGTCATGTCATACCCCCTGAGAACATCCTACCCATAGTCCTTTGCGCAGGCCCCTCGGGACAACAGTTGGAGTTCACTTTTCAAACTAGAGACACACCACAGATGGTAAAACTTACAAGAGCAAATTAAAACTACCACAGATGGTTGCATGCAAACACAACAAAAATCTGCTTATTTTAAATTATGGCCACAAAGGATCATCAGTTGTACACTTACAATTTAAAAAGTCTTAATTTGTCATTAAAAGGCTTTAAAAGTTCTTAAATTGGAGCAGAAAGTCTTAAATTCATAGTCATGGCATTAAATGTTGCATGCACTGCAAAAATGAATATCTTTGTCAATATTTTTGTCTTGTTTTCCAGTACAAATATCTAAACATCTTTAAATCAAGATGTATTTACTTGAAATGCAAAATGAAGATATAAAGTCAAGCTGAAATTGAAAAGAGTTATTCTAAGATGTAATAATATTTCACAATATTACTGTTTTCACTGTATTTTTGATCAAATAAATGCAGCCTTGGAGAGCACAAGAGACTTCTTTCAAAAAAGATAGAGTAGAATGGGAAAAAATGTAAATAACCCTAAAATATGTTCTGCATGATCTTCATACCTGTTCTCTATATCAGATGGAGGAGACGGGCCGTGTTCTCTCAAACCTTTGTAACATAGTGCCGGGGGGCGTGGTCTGTTTCTTCCCCTCCTACGAATATGAGAAGAGGATTCTGGGACACTGGGAGAGTACTGGCGTCCTTAAGCGGCTCCAGTCTAAGAAGAAGGTACACAAACACCGGTACTACCATGCCAAGTCAGTTTATACTCGAATTAAGATGCTCTTTGTGTGTTTCAGATTTTCCAGGAGCCGAAAAAAGCCAGTCAGGTTGAGCAAGTGCTCAGTGACTATTCCAAGTGTATACAGGTGTGTTCGTGTGTGAACACTACTATACTAAAAAGTAAATGAGAGCAGGTCTGGCTGTTTGTATCTACAGGTAATGATGTGTTATGGTTTGTTACGTTAATGCAGCGCTGCAGTAATGCCGGAAGTGGCCAGACAGGGGCTCTGCTATTCTCTGTAGTGGGAGGGAAAATGAGTGAAGGAATCAACTTCTCCGATGACCTGGGCAGGTAAAACTGTTCAGAATAGCATGCCTTACTATTTTTGCAGTATGTATACTGTAAGCAGTATGCATAAATACCCAAAAATGTTCCATATACAATGAAGCACACGGAGGAGTTACAACAGTGAAAGAGGAGAGAGGACCAGGCCTGGACTTCTCTCCTCTTTCACTGTCGTAACTCCTCCTTTTATCCTTCCGGAGCTCCTCTGTGGGACTCGAGACCGGTGAGTGGTGCAGGTGTCGCTCATTATCAATTACTCCACCGGCCTCGCTCCGTTCCCACAGCTCTCGGCCCCGCCCCCACTTGTCACAAAGTTGAAGTACTAAAAATTATGAAAATAACTGAACTAAAACTAAAATAAAAATTAAAACAAAAAACAAAACCATCAAAAAAACTGTAACACTTTACAATAAGGTTCATTAGTTAACATTAGTTAAATACTTTAGTTAACATGAACTAAGAATGAACATTACTTCTACAGGGGCATTTTAACATGGGGAGTCTATGGGACTGACTCCCTTTTGGAGCCAGCCTCTAGCGGCCAGTCGATGAATCAGCCCATGTCTCGCCCCTAGTCAGACACCGCTACGTCACGTAACAGCAACAAAAACATGAACAAACACTGAACGATTGTCTTTTTATTAACTAACATTAACACAGATTAATAAATGTATTGTTCCATGTTCGTTTGTATACCGCGCACAAGGTTTATGCGCATAGTCCAAGTCGTCTTCTCCATTTTTAGTGCATCTCTGTGGCAGAATTACAGCGCCACATACTGGTCTGGCATGTATACTACATCGTTTTGTGTCGGTTTTGTGGTTTCGTGTGGACGCAGATATTTCTTGAGACGAGGGGGAAAAAAAGATCGGATAGGGAAAGCTCTGGCTTCGTGTGGACGTAGCCTAAAACTTAAACCAAGATAAAAAAATAAAAAAATAAAAAATAAATTCATAATATTATAATGATAATAAAATGTTAAAATGTAGCTTATTTTATTTCAATTATTTGCAAAGGCAGCTTTTTCAATGTTTGTTTATTTTAAGTTTTTTTGTTTGTTTGCTTGTTTGTTTGTTTGAAGTACTAAAATGAAAAAATAATAAAAATAAACTAAAACTGAAAAAAAAACTACAACTAAACAACATGAAAAACAACTAAAACTTATACTAAAATAAATGGAAAATATAAAACTACAACTAATATGATTAAATACTATATTAATTATACTAAAATAATGCTTAATGCATACTGCTTCACTTACTGTTTTTTATTTTTATATTTAGTATATTCTGCACAGCATGTAAAAGGGTATTATTTTTAATCATTGAATGAATCATTTTGCACGTGTGCTTTTTTTTTAGATGTATCGTTATGGTTGGAATGCCGTATCCCAACATAAAGTCACCAGAGCTGCAGGAGAAGATGGCTTACCTGGACAAGCACATGGTGAGACTTACTACAGGATGGTGCATATGGGAACTTGTGGGACGAATCTGCCGTTTCTAACTCGCTCCCATCTGTTTCAGCCTCACGTTGGTGGTAAAAGTCCTGGGAAGGCACTGATTGAGAATCTGTGCATGAAAGCTGCCAATCAATCTATTGGTAGGTGGAGCCAGTACTCCTGTAATTCAATGCTGTGTTTAACAAAGAGTAAACAAATGCAGATTGTCTGATTTTAGAATAGCATACTAGCATAGTTCATTTATTATTTATTCTATATAAGACTAGTATGCAATCTGCTGTCTTTGAGATGTGTAATATTGGAGTAAATCTCAGTTTCTCACTTTGTTTTGGCCTTTTCACCTCACACAGGTCGTGCGATCCGTCACCGTGGTGATTATGCATGTATTGTGCTGTGCGACCACCGGTACGCCCGATCTGGCACGCTGCAGAAACTTCCAGAATGGATTCGATCCAGCACGCACACGCACACGACATTTGGTCCCGCCTTCGCCAGCATCAGGAGGGTAAGCACACTGTGCAGTATGTAGTATGTACTGCCTACTTTTTTTTTAACTGTACATGAAACAGCATGTAACACTTTCAAACAGTATTACTGTGGTCACATGATTTTTTACTTTGCATGTTTATACAGCAAGTATCCTGTTATTATCTCAGAAATTAATATTTGTGACCCTGGACCACAAAACCAGTCTTAAGTCGCTATTTCAGATAATGTATAATGTATAGCTTTCAGATGATGTATAAATCCCAATTTTAAAAAATGTACCCTTATGACTGGTTTTGTGGTCCAGGGTCACATTTAGCATTTTCAATCCAGTTTTTGTTCTTAATATTTGAATGGACTAGCAAAATTTAAGTCAGTAAGATTCAAAATTGCAGTTGATATCACTTCCAGCTCATTCAGTGGAAATGGAAGGTCAAGTCAAGCACATTGCATTGTGGGATACCATGTGCTCTGCTGTACACTGTAGGTCATCCAGAAATTCTATGCATACTATGTACATTATGCATCAGGGATGTGATTTTTCCATGTATGGATTTTTGTATTTTGTAAATGGTTTTCCGTGAAAATAAACAACTTTGAAATCAAAGAAATAAAGATAGTCATAACTATTAATACTGTAATTTTTCTGTTCTGTAAAAAAAAAAAATGTTTTAATAATAATTATTTTAAAGAACAACAGAAAAATTACAATGCTAATATTTATGACAGTCGTTATTTCTTTGCTTTCAAATCTTTCAAATTTTGCCAGAAAACCACTTACAAAATACAAACATTCATACATGGAAAAATCACATCCCTGATGCATACTGTACATAGTGTGCATTTATTGATTGAATTTTTTTTAATGTAAAATTAATTGTATAAATTATATCATTTACAATTTAAAATTATAATTGTGCAATAAAATACAAATTTTGAATAATATTTATTTATTGTATAGTCTATATTGAAAATGGAAAAAAACAGGTTTTCTTTTTTTCTGTCTTTAGCTGATCACTTGCCTAATGCATTCAGCTTAATTAGTAAAATAATAGACAGAATGTCATTGTGATAGACAGGAGCATGTGAAGTGTGAATGAGAGCTCGTGTGCGTCTCTTTTAATGAGACAGACGATCTCCAGCTGTGCTCTCTGTAAGCAGGGCTGTTCTAATGACAGGAAGTGAAGGATGACAGGATGAGGATGATTTGTTAGCCGTATGCTCCCTGTCTGATCCTGTATTTGATTCTGCAGTTCTTCCTGGAGAAGCAACAGAGACCGCCGCTCTGAGGCCATTGACTCGACAGGGCCGAGCTGTGTGTGAACAAATACTCCGGTGTGTCCTGCATTATGGATGTTTGTTTGACTACTCTGGCCTTGTGAATTATTGAAGCAGAGTTCTGCTGCCTCTGTCCTCAGGTTCTGCGCTTCAGCATGTGTTTTTGGTTCAGTTCTTGACTTTTATTAAATTAAAGCGGATTGTTTACAAGACGATTGGTTTCTGTGTTTGTAATCCAAAATGTGAAGCCAAAAGACTCGCTCAGATGGGATACAACAATCATAGTAGATTAGAGTTTATTGTCTGTACTAAAGCTACTAATACCAGAGATGTTTTAGAGCATGTAAAACACAAAATATAAAAAAAAAAAACCATCATATTTTTACATTATTTTCTTCCTTAATGGAACATTAGTTATTTCACCATCAACTTGTCACATTATTTTGAATGTGCACGAGTAGTGAAAAATGTTCATAAAAAAGTGCAATTAATTATTAAAGTCAACATAATACAACCATAATGTGAGATTTAAAGTGGGTAACATGAACCAATTGCTTGTGTGGATGAGATGACATCAGATGAAAAGGAAAGTCATTTAGTTGCAAAATTTTGATGAAAGATTACAAAGATGCATCTTGAAATTTTTAATAAATCATACACAAATGATCAGAAACACAAATGAAGTATGCAGATAGGCTGAATTTAGAGTCATGTTGACTTTTTCAATCCAAATTTTTGTTAAAATGTCTTAACTTTTGTTATGTCTGAACTTCCAGTTCATTCATCATAGTGGAAATGGAAGGTCAAGTCAAGCACATTGCATTGTGGGATAGCATGTGCCCTGCTGCATAATGTAGCTCATCCAGGAATTCTATGCACATTATGTACAGTATGCATCAGGGATGGGATTTTTCCATATTTATATGGATTTAAAAAATTTTTTTTAATGGTTTTCCGCCAAGTTGAAACTATCGCTTAACATTTGAAAGCCAAGAAATTAAGACAGTCAGAAATAATAGTATTATTTATCGTATTGTTCTTTAAAATAAATATTATATATTTGTTTTTTATTTAGACAGATATATAATGCTATTACTCAATACTATTATTGTAGTATTATTATATAATATATAATATAACATTATAAAAATATTAGTTATTCAATTTGCTTGAAAGATTTTCAAAATTTTGAAATAATTTGCACTGATGTGAATGAAGAATGTAAATAGTGTGAATTTAGATGTCACGTTAACTTTAATAATATAATCTTTCAGACTATAAAGGTTTTAATGACATATAGAACACATCCTCTTACACTTTTGATAAAAGACCAAACGTCTCACTCAACACTCCACAGCTCTCCTTGGAGAGACAATATCTCCAGACCCTGTCTATGAGGATTTCAACTCTTGAATCTCGAGTTTCGCACTCAACTCTGGGTTGCCATGGTTACGCCTCCCAATCACCTTCATCGTCTGCGGCCGGTTGCTGTGGCGCTGGAAGGGGCGGGATCACATCTGACATCCTGGCGAACGCGCCACCGGAGTTGGCAGGTGCTTCAGATGAGTCTCCGCCCGTTGGGCCCTTGCCAGAGATCCCTGTCAAATATTCACAATGAAAAATGCATCAGGTAGGATGAAAACACTGAGACTGAGGCTAAAACGAAGGTTTCAAACGCACCTTTCCTGCGCATGGCCAATTTATTGAAGAGGTCAGACATCAGGTCTCCACCGCTCACTGCTGCCCCAACTGGAAAAAAACACAACTGTTAGGTTATGCAACGAGAAAAATTACTTTTTTGTTTTTAATGAATGTTACACTACAAGGATGCAATGAATTTATCAAAAGTGAATGTGAAGACATTATAATGTTAGTAAAGAATTCTAATGATCAATGAATCCTAAAAGAAATGTATCACAGTTTCTACAAAAAAATTAAGCAGCACAACTGTTTTCAACATTGATATTGATAAGAAATGTTTCTTGAGCAGCAAAGCAGCATATCAGAATGATTTCTGAAGGATCACGTGACACTGAAGACTGGAGTAATGATGCTGAAAATTCAGCTTTAGCATCACAGGAATAAATTACATTTTGAAATATGCTCAAATAGAAAACAGTAATTTATAATTGTAATAATATTTATAAATATTACTGTTTTTTTTCTGTATTTTGGATCATTAAATCTTGATGAGCATAAGAGACTTCTTTAATAAACATTAAAAAATTTGCCTTTGTTATTTTCTGCAGCAAACTGTGCATATTTCAGGAGAATAACAAGTAGCAAAGATTATTACATTGTATTCTTTCAAATCTTAAGTGTGGCACTTACTCTCTCACCCAAGTCCTAAATCATTAGAAATCACCTCTCAGTCGGCAAATTCAAAAGACCACAAAGTTTATCCATCAATAATATATCAATGAAGAATTTGAAATATCTGAGACTTTGTGAGTCCAGAGTCAGTCGATTTCAGAGCAAATGTCAAGCAGATTTAAAAAGGCTTAATAGGGCAGATTTAATGAAAGTAAATTTCTCTTTTGACCTTTCCAAATACCACAGCGCTCTTCCTTATATCAGCGATACTGGAACACAATGAATTCCTCTTGTTTTAAAAATGAATACTCTTGTACACTTAATATGTTCATCTTGCAAAATAACTGCATGAACAGTTTTACATATATTCTGAATGGTTGCCAGGGTGTACCTATGCGGTTACTAGGATGTTGCTTACTGGTCCAAAGTCTCTACATATAGCTTGGCTTTTTTAATGCTACCATTAGCAAACACTACTAACAAGTTTCTTACCCTAATAACAGTTTAGCTAATGTTAACACCCTCTAATTGACCCAGAGTGTCAGAGTGTAAACACTGGTGGCGTCTGACCTTGCTCTTGTTCCTTCTGTTTCTTCTTCTCCATCTTGCGTCCTTTTACATTGCGGAGGTTTGCTTTGCCGCCGGCGTTTCGGATCGACTCCAGCAGACTGGCTCGCCCGTCCGACGGCTGTAACACCTCAGAAGGGGTGCCTTTCACCATACCTGATACACACGAACACGAAAGACAGTGGTTGACATAAACTAACATACAAAAGTTTGGGGTCAGTAAGATTTTTGTTCTTTTTTGAAAAATTTATTTTTCATTCAGCACGAATACATTAAATTAATCAAAAATTACATTAAAGACTTTTATAATGCTATAAAAGATGTCTATTTCAAATAAATGCTGTTCTTTTGAACTTTCTATTCATCAAAAAATCCTGAAAAAAATGTATCACGGTTTCCACAAAAATGTAGTTTAACACTGATAATATTAAGAAATGATTCATGTGACAATGAAGACCGGAGTAATGGCTACTGATAATTCAGCTTTGCATCATAGAAATAAATGACATTTTCAAATATATTAAAATAGAAAACAGCTATTATACAGTATTACTGTTTTTAATGTATTTTTGACTAAATAAATGCAACCTTGGTGAGACTTACCTACCACCAGCTGAATGTTAGTGTATATGGACAAAAAAAGATTTTTGAACGCTTAACCATTGCTAAATAGACTGTCGATAATTCTGAAAAAGAATCTTTTACCTGTGGGAGGGGCTTGACTTGACGCGACCAGATCCACTAGATTCATCGTGCTCTGTGCCAAACGAAGGCAGTTCAGGGATGCTGCTGCTGGCAGGAACGGATGGTGCGAACCCTGGGCCGAGGTCAGCGCTGTACATGAGGTCATCAGCGATGCCAGGTAAGTCAGGCAGGTAAGATGGCACATCGATCTCAGGCACTTGCCCCAGGTCTGGCACATAGAAATAATTCTCTGCGGTCTGAGAAGAAAGCACGAAAGATGTTTTCAGTGTATCGCTTCACTATAGGTGTGATTGAACAGCTCACCTGTCTCTCTAGCTGCTCTCTCTTGGTGATCGACAGCGGCGCATCAAACGGTTTATCTTCCTTTTCTGTCTCTAACGTGGTGTGTGTTTTAGTCACGGCACCCGCCAGAGGGTCAAGAAACACATATTTCTTATAGCTGAAAATACACAAACACGCACAGCGATGATTACATGAGCATTAATAAGGTTGCATCGGCAGTGCAGCATTCAGTCAGTATGTGTAGGTGTTTGTGTACTCACAGGTTCTCTGTTGTGTTGAACAGCAATAAGGAGCTGACCGAGTTGACATTTCTTGGCAGACTTCCCAAACCCTCCTCTGTCTCATCCTCAGAGCGCTTCTTAGTGTTGACGCATACTGGCAAATACATCAGCTTCTCCTATAAAACACATTTGTGGGTCATTTCATTAAATATTTTTAACATAAATTTGTGTTGATAGTTTTACACTGTAATTTGACATTACAAGCCTAACGTTTAAAGTCATGAAACTACAAAGAACTTCTTATAAAGAGAATTTGATGCTGATATTTTCACAAATATCCTCAATTAACAAATGTTAAGTGCTTGTGTGGCTGAGAAAATTTAGTTAAATGCTGGTTTCCCTCCAAAGTGAACTGTCCAATGGCATTTTTTTAAACTTGGATAAAGCAAATGTGTAAAGCATATAACAAAACAACAATGAAAAGCAACCTGCCAACAGTTTATCAAAATGAAATTTAAGATGTGACATTTAAAAATTATTTTAATTTTATTTTTAAATTGATTTTAAATTTGACAATTTTATTTTATTTATTTTATTAAATAAACAGTTAAATAAATTAAACAGTTTTAAATGTTAATTTTTCAATAAAAAATGATGTATTCATTATTTTAACTACATTTTAAAACATTAATTAAATGAACTGTTTATCTATTAATCAATTTTTTGAAAATATTTATTTCCTTTTTTTATTATTACATTTATTGAGTTGATATTGTAACATTACAATAGCAATTCTGTTACCATGATTTTTGGAAATAAAAATGGAAATAAATCACTTTTTAATAGACAAATGAATAGACATATTTAAAAATGTTTATTTAGTTCATGTTTTAAATGTTGTTAAATAAAAAACTAAATAATAAGCAAAAACAAAAGAATAAAAAGAGGAGAGACATCTGAACCTGTAGTTGAAGAGCTCACTTCCTCTCATTATGTTAATTGTTTTTCTCACTTTCTCTCATCATGTATTTTTTAACAAAATATGAGCCATATACACTTGAAAGTGAGCAGGAGAGGAGGAGGAGCAGGAGAAGGAGCTAAAATGACTAAATTTGTTCACCTGTGGGGCCTTGTCATCCAGTGGGCGGAGCTTGCTCTGAACTTTAAAGCGTGGCCGCTTTTGGGAGGCGGGATCTACTGCACCCGTAAAGATGGACGAATAATCCTGCAGTTTTTCTGGAGCGGGGTATTTGGCACTGGAGAACACCTACACAAACACATCAGACATATAACCACTCGGTACTGTGCAATAATTATTAATTAGTCATTTAGTTGGTGCTTTAATCCAAAGTGACTTACAGTACAATTATTATAGGAACAAAATTCCTGCAGTTCAGTAGACAGTAGAGCAGTAAAAATCTTAATGATACTGAAAATTGTCTTCATTTTATTAATGGGAAAAAAATATATATTTTTGTTATTTAGTCAAAATATGACCCAGACATTTCTTGATGTGATTTAACCATTAGCTTATGCCCACCCTACAACTCATATCCACTTTCTGCTCCAAATATTTGTTGCAGAAATCTGAATCATCTGCATCACCTTTGTGGCTTTCTTGCTTCCTTTGATCTTCTGGACTCTGGCCTGAGCCAGTTTGATCCGGTCTGTGACGGTCTGAAGGTGTACACGGTTCTTCTCCACGCTCTGAGACACCCTGTCAAAACCAAACCAAGTCATTGGGTCTGCTATAGCTGCAGAATACAGGTGAACACATTTAGATCAGAACTCTAAATTCAGGCCTTTGTCAACTCATTTGTTGGTGATTAAAACTGTTTCATAATTAATCCTGTTTAAACCAGTATGTTTGACTCATTTTTACATCAACATTGACAATTTCATCTTCAAAAAAATAAAATTTTTAATCTTCCTATGACATTAAGAATTAATTAAACACATTCTATTTCAGGCATTTCTAAATTAATTCTATGTAAATACTGCATTAAGTATAAATTTAATTTAGCAATTTTGTGTGTTTAATTTGCTATAAGCAATAAGGAATAAGTGGATCATTGTTTAAAAAAAACTGTATATATACCTTACCGTTTAAAATGTTTGTCTTTAAGATTTAAAAAAAAAATAAACACTTTTTAATTTTATTATTACTTTTATTCAACAAGAATGCATTAAATTACATCTATAAACAAGATTTTATTTCAAATCAATGCTGTTCTTTTTATTTTTCTATTCAAAGAATCCTGAAAAACGCATCATGGTTTCCACAAAAACATGAAGCATCACAACTGTTTTCAACATTGATAATAATAAGAAATGAGAAATAATCAGAAATGTTTCTTGAGCAGCAAATCAGCATATTATACTGATTTCTGAAGGATCACGTGACACTGAAGACTGGAGTAATGATGCTGAAAATTCAGCTTTGCATCACAGGAATAAATCAGATTTTAAAATATATTCAAATAGAAAATAGTTATTTTAAATTGTAATAATATTTCACAATTTTACTGTTTTTACCATTTTTTTTAATCAAATAAATGCAGCCTTTGTGAGCATAAGAGACTTCTTACAAAAACATTTTCCAAACAACATGCTGAATAATGGTGTACTGCAGCACATTAGCAGATGAAACAGCACGTATACTGTGACCTTGGTGGCTCTATGCCAATGCCATTTGTCTTGGCTGGATATTATAATGTCTTTTTATTACACCTATTGTAAGCCGTCAGTGTTTACCAGCCATGTATCTCTTTTGTTTCTCCATTCTACACTGTTTCTGTGGACAAACATTACAAACAGGAAAAAAGATCCCTTGATTGCAGGAGGCAGCTACAGTACGCCGGCCTGAAACATCAACAAAATGCAGCGGCAATGAGAGGGTAATCGTAATCGCATTTGTGCAGTCCTATCATCACTACTGAGTCAGTGTGCTCCTCTGTAGCCTATGGCACTACACGCTGTCTTAAAAGACCCTCCATTCCTCTCCATTAACAGAAGAATGACTAAAAGAGAAGGGGGAAGGAGAGGCTTAATGGAGCTGACCTAGAAACGCACTGCTTCACCACACACACACAAAATGCTCCCTGGACCCCTACGTGCCATGTTGTCATGGTAACGCTGTGGATGGTTTTCCAGCCTGTTCAGCTGGAATTAGCATATTTGAGCACTCACTCCCTCACAACTGCATCTCATGCAAAACACACACCTTTCATCGTGTTTCTCTCCTTTGTTATTTTGACACGTCTAATCATGCTCTCTCCTTCAGTAGACAGGCGCAACAATAAGGATGACCCGGGGCCGGTGTGAGGTGGTTTCGGGCCAGCGGACGGAGCTGTCACTTACCTTAAAGGACCAGTGCTGCGTCGTCATTGCATCTTATGTTTGTTGATCATGTACATGTGTTTTTATGCATTGCACTCAAAAATATTTGCTATGTGTTTTTTTAATTCTAATGATTTAAATATTGTTTGGGATTGATAAGACTTTAAAGTCTCTTATGCTCATCAAGGCTGCATTTATTTGATCAAAAATACAGTAAAAGCAGTAATATTATTACAATTTAAAATACCTGTTTTCTATTTTAATGTATTTAAATATGTAATCTATTTCTCTGATGCAAATCCAGTCTTCCGTGTCACACGATCCTTCAGAAATCATTCTAATATGCTGATTTGCTTAAGAACCATTTATTGGAATAGAAAGTTTTAAAGCTTTTATTTGAAATAGAAATCTTTTGTAACATTATAAATATTTTACTGTTGGTTTTGATCAATCTAATGCATCTTTGCTGAATAAAATGATTAATTTCTTAAAAAAAAGCAGGTGAGTGTATATATATATATATATATATATATATATGCCAACAATTATTAAAAATTAAATAATTTATTTATAGTGAATAATTGTTTGGTAAAATAAAAAATATTTTTGTCACATTTAAAATATGTTGCTAAACATTTTCATCAACATATATGACAATTAAAAAAAATTTTTTTTTTTAATATAAATCTATTATAAAAAAAATCTTTATTTTTGAGACCTGAATGGGCAACTCAAAATGTAGCATTCACGTATAACGTTTGTGTGAACTGCTACTGCATAATATTATTGATTCTAGCCTCTTGATCTTATTTCTCTTGATCTCTGATCTACTCAAAAGCACTCTAGTCTGTACTATGAATGTGTGTATAAATAAATGTGTGTTTACCTAGAAAAGATGTCTGTTGATATCATTTCCAGGTACTGTAACGCACCAGTGATCTGATGCACAGCCTCTTCTCTCCTCAGATCCGGCTGGATGAGCGGTACAGAGTACACCTGTCCCTCCAGGTAACGTTTCGGAGTCATCCTACACACATACACAGACACAAACCAAAGAATCATTCAATCGGTATAAGCAAATTGTGAAATATAAAGTCTTAAGTCATTTTCAATTATCTAGTGTTAGAATTTGCCAAGGTAGTAGCTAAACTGATAATATAACATTCAAATACGCTGCATACTGAAGTTGGCAACACACATACTATTTATAATGCATGGGACACTGTATGAAAATGTAAATTTCATATCCTTTGGAATTTATACTTTTTGCCCCCTGTCATCACGGATACACAGGTCACGTATCTTGATCCAATCTAGAGACTCTGATCTAATACAGCAACATGAAACACTGATCCAGCCTAAACGAATGACAGTCACATGATGACTCGCACACATAAAGCTGAATTAACACTGTTATGTTGTGTGTCGCAATGCAAGCCCTTTAATAAGAGAGTATAATAACAATATGACAGTTATCTGAAACAAACCAGCTGATTAAGACACTGATTTTCATTTTAAAATGATTTTCTCCGATGGAGAAAACACAGCGGCCAGAAACTCAAATGGATGCCTATGAAATATCGCTATTAAAACAGAAAGGAAACACTTTACCTGACCATTTATATGTCAAAAGCACAAACGTTCAGCTGCTCGAAGGCGCTCCGTCCTTCAGGATCAAAACTTCCGCACTCGCAGATCACGTGACGCCTGACGTCGGCGCGTAACAGTAGAGAGAGAAAAAAACGGATAATAAAATAATAAAACATAAATGTTTATTAATAATAATAATAATAATAAATTATTAAAATATACATTAATATTAATAATAAATTATTAATATGAATAAAATGTTTATTTAATGTCTATTAAAATGCTAAAAATAACCCGTAGACATTATGACACTTTTGAGCATCTGTTTAATAATTTTATTATTATTATTTCATTTGTATTATTATAATTGTTGTTGTTGTAGTAGTAGTTGTTGTTCTAATATCACTTATCATGATGTACATTTGTGTAGGCCGCAAGAACATTAAAATAATTATGAATGAATTTAGCCAGCTTTCAAAAATCATTTGTCTTTGTATATTCCATGTAGGCTATATACGAAAGCGTTTTGATCAGACGTTTTGATCAGATTTGTTAGTAGTGAACCATTCCCATCATTAACTTTATGATTTTTGCCTTGCTTTCTCTATAATAATAATAATAATTATTATTATTATTATTATTGACGCTTTGGCATTACTTAGTGAGAAACAGTCGTGCTAATAATGCACTCTGAAAATAAGGTGGAAAAGAACATTCATTTGGTAACTAAGCAACAGAAATCAAATTTGTAGCAATAAAATAAGACACTAAGCATGATTCATGTTTTTATTGATTCATTTTTTTATTGAACATTGAAAGGCATACAAACGGATCCACGTCGAGGTACATACAAGATACAATTTATAAATAGTGATTAATTATTAACAACAAATCTAAAGGAGATAAATAATCTAAGCAAACTCTGTTGCGTGCCCCCTGGCGTCACTCGCGATCGCGGCCCCGCCCCCTTCAATCCGTGTTTTGACATCCTCGCATCAGCACCACTCCGCGCATCCCTTCTTGCGCGCTCTGGGCACGGAGGTGGAGGCGGAGGCGGGGGTCTCTCTCTCTCTCTCGGTTCAGCCATTTAAATATCAACCCGTGAAACTGGTCAGGGGTTCTGACTCCAAGACGCCCCGCTTGGATCGGATCATTTCTCGGCTTTTTCAAGAGGAGCGTCGCACCGGGATGTCGAGCCTGCTGGAGAACCCTCTCCAGGCGGTGCTCTATCTGAAGGAGCTCACGGCCATCGTGCAGAACCAGCAGAGTCTGATTCAAACCCAACGATACCGGATAGACATACTCGAGCGCCGGCTGGAGGATCTAGCGGTTGAGAATGGGCAGCTGCGGGACTCCAGCAGCCATCACCGGCACCCTCCCCGCTATCATCCGCCTCCGCCCCCCCGGACCTCCAGCCTGCCCCGAACCAACAGATCCGGGACGCCTCCGGTTCAAACCCAGCAGCAGCAGCATTCCCCCCTGGACATGCAGCTCGTGCCTGCGGGACCCAGCAATGCCAGTCCAGACTCTGCTGATGAAGATGATAATGACGTTCAGGACCCCTGCTGTCGGTCCCTGGTCCCACAGACACCTGCCACCTTGTGCCGAGCTGTGAGACTCCCACGGGCATCTGAGTAAGCTCTCATCACACATGTTCAACAAATCAGTCTTTTTTCTCTAGGAAAACATGAGATCGGTGAGATGTTGAGGCAGATTACATGTGCCATCAGGATTACATAACAGAGGAATTTCACTCTATGTAGGCCACAGTGAATATACAATTGCACATCAATAATTCCAGGATCACAAAAAGCATGATGATTTGTATTTATAAAATCATTCAGCATGCTTTGTCTATCAGTGCATAAATGCACGAGTGTGTATTGCAGTGTTAAATTAACTGTACTTTCTAAAATGGAAGAAAAATGACTATAGGTCATCATTAATTCAGCACATTCACTCTTTCCAGGGCAAAAGGTCTTAAGAAAGAGGTTTTTAATGCACCTGATTATTTTGCAGCAAGAATGCTTTTTTAAAAGCACTTAAAAACACTTTATTGGCATGCAAACTCACGCGCACACACAGATTTATGCGTGAGGCTTTAAGTGACATTCCCATAGTGCATGTGAAGTTGATCCGCCAGCTGGAATCTAATCCACAGTAGAGAGAAAGAACGAGAGATTGAGTGAGTGAGTGTGTGTGTGTGTGTGTGTGTCGCCTATTACGACTGCTCATCTGCTTCAGTGCACATCTCATGTTGCATTTGTAGAGTACTCTCTCTCTCTCTCTCTCTCTCTCTGTGTGTGTGTGTGTGTGTGTGTGTGAACCCCACAAGCAAAACTGGAATGATACATTCTGCTCCGATTTGTTTAATGGTAGTATTATCTTGTCCTTTAGGGTACAAAACACTTAGTCCTGAGTCTGAGAGTGTGTTACCTTGTTGTGTGTTTGTTTTTTATGGCAGAATACGCTTAGTTCTACTGGAAGTATGAGACGCTCATTGCCAATGAGTTTTAGGGCTCAATTATGCTCATGCACGCAGCTCATTAAAGCTAATCTCACATCACTATCACCAACATGTCTGGTTATGACAGGTATATTTTGAGACTGTTGCATCTTTATTAGCGAGAGAGAGTTAATTTTTTAGTTCAGTAAAAAATGAACATATGCTGAAATATTACTCACTTTCAGGCCATTCAAGATGTAGATGAGTTTGTTTCTAAATAGATTTGGAGAAATGTAGTATTCCATCACTTGCTCACCAATGGATCCTCTGCAGTGAATGGGTGCCGTCAGAATGAGAGTCCAAACAGCTGATAAAAAAATCCCAACAAACCACGAGTAATCCACACCACTCCAGTCCATCAGTTAACATCTTGTGAAGTGAAAAACTTCATGTTTGTAATAAACAAATCCATCATTATGATGTTTTCAACTTCAAACCGTTGCTAATATTGCTTTTGCCAGTGATAAAGTAATCTCATCTGAATCAGGAGAGAAATATGCACAGATCAAACACCATTTACAAGCAAAAACAGTTCTAACAAATATGTGGATTTTGATGTGAGAGGACAACAGTGGATGGACCTTTTCACTGGAGGAAGCGTTATTATGGAATATGGACTTTTATATATATTTTATGTATATTGGCCAGAAGTGACTGTTTAAAGTTAAAAATGTCTTATGTCGACACCCTCCTGTCGTTCCAAACTGGCATGACTTTCTTCTGTTGAACATAAAAGAAGATCACAAAAATGTAGTGACGCACTTTTTTAACCAAGAAAGCAGCTGGGAATTTTACACACAACAGAATATTACATTAATAATGAATATTACATAATAATAACAATAGCAGGACTGTAAGGAAGTGATATGCAAATATGATTATATTAATAGCACTTCACATTCTCATGTTACGCTCGAGTGTGAAGCAAACGTATTTGATGTGCTGTCAACAAGGGAGGGCTCAAAGAAAACTCATCTTGAGCTTTCAATTTCCCTGAATTAGAGACTGAATTATTAAAAATGTTAGAGAATTAAAATAAATCAGGAAGGAGTTGAGGATTTCTGAAAGAATTGAGAGCAGCCATTGCTTTGTGATTGTCAGGATGAACTGTTCCTCTAAGACTTCGTTTAGAACTTCATTTAAGTGTGTTATTTAGAGAGCTTCTTACCTGCTGGGTTAAAACCCACAACATTGAATATTTAGGGCTACATTTAAGATTTATGTACTGCATTTGATTTGCATATAAAATTTCCATCCATTTGGATTGCAGTTTTAACAAACCAATAAACCTACATAAATGAAACAAGTAACAAACTGATTTCTATAGTACACTCTTAAAAATAAAGGTGCTTCAAAATTCTCAAATTTTATTTTTTGTTAAAATTCAAAAATTTCATTTTTGGTTCCACAAAGAACCATTCAGTCAAAGGTTCTTTAAAGAACCATCTCTTTATTACCTTTTTGTAATCTGATGAACCTTCTTTCGCCACAAAGAACCTTTTGTCAAACAGAAAGGTTCTTCAGATGTTAAAGGTTCTTTATGGAACCATTTAGACAAAAAGGTTCTTCTATGGCATAGTGAAGCACCTTTATTTTTAAGAGTGTAGTACTAACTGAAATGTGTTTTAAATACACAGTAACCAGGTTTATATATTTATCATCAATAAATACAATTTGTTTCAATCTCATACATTTTGACTAACTGAATATTGCTTGTTCCACAGCTAGCCATATTTCAACTGTTCATAATTTTTTAAATAATCAACTGAATTGATTTCAAATTGAACACATAGATTTTTCTGATTATAAGAAATTTGAATAAATGCATTTTGATATATATTTATTTAAAATCAAATCAAATAGATGCAAACAGTTAATAATAAACTACGCCATGATTTTTGAGTGAAGAAATCTCACCCATTTCATTTATGTATGACTGACAAATATGCATCAACACATAAAGTTTACTAGTTTATATTGAAACTGTGTTTTCCAAATGGATGGAAATTCTATATGCAAAATACTTTTTGAGGGTACTTTTGAGTGGCCAATAATCTGGATTCTGAAGCTAAACCAGTTGAGAACCACCACACTAAGCTACAGCAATCTCTATAAGTGCTCAAGGAACACAAATGAAGTAACATGTAAATAGTATTGCATTGCATTGCATTTAATTGCAGTAATGTGGATTTGAACCTTTACAGGAGCCAGACCATCCTGCACCAGTTCTGCTGTCCCGCACCAGAGGCCCCAGAGGGAGACTCCCTAACCTGCTCCAGGTGAGGATGTCATCTTCTGTAACGAGCCAATCAGAGGAGAGTTAGTCTTTCTACATGCCAAACAAATAAACTGTACAATATGAGCAAGCGATGCAGTAAGGAGAGTGTGAATCTACTTGCTTACCGCAGCTGTCTGCATTAGTTAAGTATTCCATCCTTGAATGGTAGTGGTTTTCTGATGGCAGCCCCTGTTCTCTTGGCCTGAGGCATTCTGGGTGATGGGATTCAAGCTAGCAGAGTGTAAGTGTGTGTGTGTTTGTGAGAAAGAGAGTTAGTGCATGCTGCAGGTGTAGTTTAACCCTGGTCCGTTCT